TTGGCCTGATTAAAAGTGTCAGTCAGTAGGCGGGGAAACAAAGAGCTCATCGCCGACACCTTCTCCAGCTGTGGAGAACCACCAGGAACCGGTCAAACCTGCCAGAAGAGCCGTTTTACAAACAGAGACCCCCGTCTTCGTGTCACAGACACGACACCCTTCACTCTCACAGAACCCTAAACACACACACACACACACACACACACACACACACACACACACACACACACACACACACACACACACACACAAACACACACACACACACACACAACCACACACACACACACACACACACACACACACACACACACACACACACACACACACACACACACACACACACACGCACGGGTCCGCCTCTGACGGAGGTAACGCCTGACGAGGGAGAAGTCAGACGAGAGCGTTCGTCTGCGAGTTTCTCGTCGAGGTTCTGGCTGAAGCGCCTCAAAGCGAACCTCTAACGCCTGAATGACCCTCTGATCCTGAGGATAACTGATCCTGGGAGAGTGTCACCCAGCAGCTCTGCTTCTGCTCCTTCAGCTGCGGAACAACAAGGACGAGCTAAAAACCCACAGACTAAAGAGTCTCACAGCGCCTCTTCATAGACTCCAATTACAGCCGAGAGGTAGGCAATTAAAGCTCCATCACAGGGTGACAAGGCGTCGTGAGTGGCTGGGCGACAGTCCTGAAAACTAGCTTGATGACTCTATTCATTTGGTGCCTGCTGAAGCCTCACGTTCCCATCACTTCTAATTAAGGAGGTAAAGCATCCAAACGGCTCCTGCCGAGGGCGGGAGGCGGAGCGCTGCCGACATCTAACCACAGAAGAAGAGTTTGTCTGGAGAAGAGGCTTTGGTAAAGAGAGATCAGGTGTAGAAAACACCTTTCTTCACCTGCAACCATGTTTTAGTTTGTTTACCAGGATTATTAATAATCCGGCGTTTCCCTTTGCTCCCACGGATGAAACCCCGCTGGACCCAGCGCGGTGCTGGAGGAGGTAAAAGTTACGTAGGATCATTAACGTGTGCTCGTGCACGACCTGACAGCAGCTGATCCATTCACTAGAAACCATTTATAACCCTGGGTTAGTTACCCGGGTAACTAACTACCCATGCAACTAACCCAGGTAACTAACTCAGGTAACCGTGGGTTAGTTACCTGGGTTAGTTACCCGGGTAACTAACTACCCATGCAACTAACCCAGGTAACTAACCCAGGTAACCGTGGGTTAGTTACCCGGGTAACTATAACTATAAATAATAAATCCGACGGGAGAACAGGACTAGTACTCCCAGGGTTCATGACATTGTGTCACAGCTTCTTCACCATCTGTCAGAACTAGGCAAGACTAATCTACCCCAGAAAAACGGATGGATTCACCTAAACTCTGTAATTTGAGGATGGAGATCCTCCTTCAGTAGGAAAACTCTCCTCTTCACCCCCTGGAGAAGAATTCCTGTTATTCCTGGATCAGGAACTCTTGATTCTGTTCCTCGTTATCTCAGAGCCGCCCTGTTCATTCAGACCAGAACAACCGATGTTGGCCCCGCCCACCCAATACGGTGGTCACTGATGAGTCACTGAGACAAATGTTTCGTATCAGAATTTATTCCGATTTCATTAAATATCGACAAACTAAACATTTATTTATATATTTATTTGTTTATTATTTTGGTCTCATTTTGCTCTCCATACCTTCCACCAGTAAACACTAAAGATCAGCAGGTTCTGTGCTCTGCTGCTGCTCTTCATCCTCGACACGTTCATCTCTTCATCTCTAACCTCCATCCTCTCCTCCTCTGCAGGCCCCGACCATCTGAAGCTCGGCTGTAATCCTGTCAGGATATTGAAAAGCCGATCCCTCCTCCTCTCTGACCCGCACCTTCACCTCCTCTCTGACCCGCACCTTCACCTCCTCTCTGACCCGCACCTTCACCTCCTCTCTGACCCGCACCTTCACCTCCTCTCTGACCCGCACCTTCACCTCCTCTCTGACCCGCACCTTCACCTCCTCTCTGACCCGCACCTTCACCTCCTCTCTGACCCGCACCTTCACCTCCTCTCTGCAGCCTTCCTGCATCCTCGTCTTCCTCCTCGCCTCGGCTAAAGGGCTTTGGAAGCTCCGCTGGGAGCTGACACATTCAGGCTGAGTGAGCTGCGCGCACACACACACACACACACACACACACACACACGGCTCTATGGAAGGATGCCATTACTACATCCAGCCTGAACCGGGAGGATCCGAGGCGGCTGCAGGACGAGCATGTGACCCGCTCATGCATCCCTAATCCACAGTTGCCTCATGAGCTTCCGGCTAAACCGATCCCCGTTTCTCCTAACACCACTTCAGCTGCTCCCCCCTCTCCCCCGTTATCCCCATCCACCGTGCAAACCCTCTCCCCTTTCTCCTGGTGGCCTGGACGTTCCCGATAACCCCGCCCCCCACGAGGCTCAATTAGAGGCTTTTAAAGAACATTTGGGTCAACGTCACGAC